CCTTAATGAATCGATAACACCAATCGTTTCTTGCCAATTCGGTTGTTCATTCACATAAGTCATGAGCTACCTTACTTTTCTCGTATTGAGTTAAGATTTTGTTGCTTGGTTACTTTCGCATAACAGATGTACACTATTTCTTTGGAACAACCTCCTACTACTTCTCCATCACTTTCGCATTCATAAATGTAACCCTTGAGACTCTCATAAATTACCACTAAGGTTTATGGTTACATAACATCTGTGTTTATGATCTTAAATTCGTTATCACCACGAATTGAGAGAAACCCAAAATCCAACACATTTTTGCGAATTGACTGTGAACACTTACATATTCTAGATCTATCACCAATGAATTAATGAATGTCCTTTTTCATGGTCTGTACCATGAAATCTCTTTTTCTTTTTCGAGATCTTAATAAAATGTTCTAGTTATAAGACATTTCTTCCCAATAGATCCAGTTTTGTTTTTCTTGAGATTTCTATATTTATCCTAGTCATTGAAATTATTTCCAAGCATACTTGTTTTTAAGGCTACACTGGTCAAACAAGTACTTCATACGAACATTTGGACTTATGTTGAGTTTCAGATTTAGTTGAAGAAGAAGCCCCTACATTCGCCTTATTAAAAGAAGCCTTTCACTGTTTCTCCACAAACAGATGATCGTAATTCAACAGGACACCAAACAAGCACTTCAAAGTCTCTCTTGATTGCGAAGGAAGAGATCGTTGCCCGAGATCCATCAATTTCATGTCTTATATGACATCACTAGAATCCCTAAGAAAACTCGCTTTATTTCTTTATCCTTGGAACACTCTTGTACGAAGATCTTTATGATTTTCTAAATTCTGGTTCATTTCCCTATTGTTACTTTCAGGTTCGGAGTACTGCAAATGGTGATCCATTGCTAATTTATAAGGCTGCAAAAGTCAAAATCTGAAAGGACGATTCTAATATATAAGATTTGAAATTTGGGTGCGTGGAATAGGAAATGGCTCCTGACCTGACGCCTGGCGCCTAATTTTTTCGACTTTTGAAGGTCAAAAATTGGATTTTCTCTCTCCTACTACACGGTATAAAAGGAAATCGACGCTTAAGTTGTCATTACTGCTTTCAAAGATATCAAACTTAAAGGAAAATTCTCTCTCTACTGTTCATCTCCTTCTCCAAGCATCCATGGTTGCCTCCTCAGAAACTAAACATATGGCGCAATCAATGATCCTCACCCTGAAGTCCAACCAAAACATGATTCTTGATCTTGATCCTTCGAAATACGATGACTTTCTTCAGCCGATCGTCGAGTGCCTACGATATTCTTCTCTGGTAATTGCCTTGACAAAATCTAAAATCATGCCCACTGCTCATCTATCAAGAGAAAATTCAACTTCTTGTTATTAAAATACTGAAGAGATGATTACGTTTGAAGTCTTCAACAAGAAAACTCACATTACCAAGTCCAGATTTTGTTCTTTTCTAGGGATTCGAAAAGGGGGTAACTTAATCGATCATGAATCCATCGCCAACTTATCCATCATGGATACGTTCTTCCAAATGGGCTACAAGGAGCTTTAACTGCTTTGTCAAAATTCAAGAAACCTAATCTGCCACCAATGTAGAATGGGTTGTTCACCCTCTTGTTTAAAAGCTTCTCTAAAAGGGTAACAAGCTCAGATTGTGCTAGGAAACTCTTTATGACAATCATGTATGGAGTCTACATGTAACATCCATAAAATTCAAGCTAATTTAAAACATTTAAAACCATTAAGTTATTGCAGTTTACTTTCAAAATAATTTAAACATCAGAGTATCACCATAATCAATCATGAAAATGTAAGGAGGTGCACGATCACACATTCGCCTTCCCGCGATTATCAGAATATCTGAAACAGTAGTCGATAAATGTAAGCTCAAAGGCTTAGTGAGTTACCCCCAAAATACCAGCACCATACAGATATAACCATATCATATACACATATAAAAAAACAACAAACAACATGATAATGAGCCATCAGTCTGACTGGACCGAATCCCGATCCTCAGTCTATCTAGACCGCTCTCCGAGCCCTTGACACGTCTGGACCGCCCTCAACAGGGCCTTCGGCTTGACTAGATTTTCCCGGTCCAGGCCTGTAGTCTACCCGGTCCGCCCAGGGTGTCTTGGCCTACCACACACAGCAGGACCTGCCTCAACCCTTTCCCCAAACCAATAAACATGTGCACATACATATAAACAAGTAAACATGCAGATCTAATAGATCACTAACATGGCAACCATCCTATAACCAGGATACCGATCTAACTGATCTCTAGCATAGAAACCATCCTAAACCAGGTCGAAATCTAACATAACAACCATCCTGAACCAAGATGAAATCTAGCATATCAATAACATAGCAACCATCCTAAACCAGGATGAAATCCAGCATATCAATAACATAGAAACCACCATAAACCAGGATGTAAATTATAAAGGGTTGGCCTTGGTGCCGTAGATCCTGTTGATATAGTGAGAATAATTCACCTGGCACTGCTGAAGTCCCGCTGATGAAACTCCAGGTGCTGGTTGACAACTTCCTGAACTGTCAACATCAAACAATACCCAATTAGTAATTGGGTTCCAAGCCTAAGGTCCAACTCATACTCCAAAGGCCCAAAAGTCAAGTAATGGGCCAAAGCTCAATATATGGCCCAATTTTCCAAATTAGGCCAAACCTCTACATGGTCTTTCCTTAAGGCCCATCTAATTATTCTAGTCCAAACACTTGGTATTCCCATGGCCCAATATCATGTAATCATCAAGGCCCAGTTATGTCCCACGTATGGTCCAATTTTCCAAATTAGGCCCAAGTCCTTCACATGGGCCTTATCCTAAAGCCCATCTAATTATTTTGATCCATGTACTTGTTCTTGGATAGCTCATCCACAGTCCAATCACCAAAGCCCGATAGGAAGGCCCAACTCAAGGCCTAAGTGAAATTAGGGTTTCACATGAAATGACGATTAGGGTTAAGTGTTCCTACTTAACCCATTAAGGACTTATTCCATTAAGGACTTAATCCATTAAGTCCAATATTACCTTAGGTTAATTTGCACCTCATTATTAATTATTATTTCAGGTTTAATAAATAATTCTCGTGCGGTCCCGATAAATCCCAAAATTAGGGTTTTAAGCCATTAGGGTTTTCCAAACCCTAAATAGGGTTTCCTACCCAATACTAGCCCATTAGCCAATTGGTTGGGCTTTTAGGTCACTTTGGGCCTCATTAGGCCCATTAGGGTTTTATTACGTCAGTAGGGTTTCTTGGGCCCATTAGGGCTTCATTGGGCCCTCTTTGATCAAGCATCCACCAAACGAGTCAAACACAACAAGGCAAGCACACCGCCACCCGAAACGGAAGCCGGTGGCGGCAGGAGGCGGAAAACACGCTCATAATGATACACACACGTAATTTCATATCAAAACACACACACAGCCACCTTCCACGGTGGTTGGTGGTGGCGGAAGAGGGCGGCAGGTGGCGGCCACCATGGCTGGCAGCCATGGTGGTTCTTTTCCTTGGTCTCCGGCCAATAAACAACCACCCAAACAAAAACTTGATCCCTTGCAGAACACAAACACATCTCAGCCACCATCAACGTGACGGGCGGCAAACGGAGTGGAACAACATCGGTTAACAGCGGAAATAGCTTGCCCTCCACACTCCCAACGTCCTGCCGGTGATGTTCTTTAGCCACAACAACAGCAGCCACGACTGGTGGCAGTGGATGTGGATTGTATTCATCCGATGGTAATGGTGGTCGTAGCTACGGTGCAGTGAGCATGGGGGTGGAGAAAAGTGGCGACTACCGGTTGCTAGCTGCTGTGAGACTGGCTCCAAAGCGAGCGGCGAACAAAACGGTACCGACAACAGCCGAGTGTGGTTGTGATTGGTGATTGGAAAGAGGGAAAGAAGGAAACGACAGAAAGATGGCATCGGCACTCACAACTACATCGGGGTGTCTTTTTCGTCGTCGGGAACAACGTACAAGGGTGGTGCAACAGTGACTGACGACGCCGAAAGTAGAGGAAGGAGGTGAGATGAATGATGGCAACTGGAACCGAGCATGGCGGTTGAAGAATTAGGTTTAGGGTTTTTGGTGTTGCATGCACTTAATAAGAGTATATACATATATGGGCTAACAGGGTAATGGGGAAGGGAGTCGGGTTCAAGTCCCGCTCCAAACAAATTTTGTACACATTTTACATATCAGCCCCCTCCCCATGACATCTTTTCAAATTAAATCCGAACTTTACAATTAGTCCCCAACATTTCAATATCCTTTCCATTTAAGTCTCAATCTTACAAAACAGTCCCTAACTCCTGAAAATCCTCACAAGTTAAGTCCTAGAAATACACTTTTATTCCCTAGAGATTCAAATCTTGCCATTTGGCTTCCCAAAACCAACACCCCGCTAATTATTATTTAACTTTTGGACAATAATAATATAAATTAACAATAAAATTACATTTCAGGTTCCGGATTTATTATTTAATCCTTTTATTTAAACAGGATGTTACACTACACAGGTATCAATCTCGATTTTGGTACGATGCTTTGGGCTCAACTGGTCCAAAGTACTCATTTGATTACCCGCCATAGCGAGATTTCCTGTGCTTGCTTCTAGACGATTGTGGTTCAAAGGGCCATTGAATGGCTACACATTCCTATCTTCGAAGATTATGTTATGACTGCAATTCCGATCTTCCACACAACGAATATCATCATGGATGATAATTCAAAATTCTCTTTCATTGGCTCAATCCTTGAGGCCATGTTTCGTGATGTCCCTGTGGCAAGTAAAGTCCTGGAAGCTTATCGAAAAATACCAGTTTTTGGCTTTTGCCCATAGAATGATGAGATGCGAAAGACCCTTGACGAAGAAGACAGACCCAAGAAGGGAGGCAAGAAAAGGCCTGTAAATGTTGGCACATCCAAACCTCCCTAAGCACCAAAGAGGATGAAGATTAAGAAAGTGGATCATAAGACCATATCTCCCACTTCGAGTGACCACGAGAGCTCGCAGTCATACACACTTTCGGAGGTTCCTATGCAGGGTGGTACTGCAAACAAACCCTGATGTAACATTTGAAATCCCAACCACAGTTCCAATTACTGAAGATCTTTTCTAGGATTTTCCATCCCTTCTCCTACATCTACGTTTTCTACCCCCATCACCATAGCACCTTGCCCACCAGTATCCTTGAGTGTTTCGCAAAGCCAAACCCCATTCTTCACCGATTCAACCGCAACTACAATCACTACCACTGACGAACCTCCAGTCAATGTCAACACATCTGATGCGGGGGCAAGGGCTTCAGGATTCTCAGTAGGTCATTCCACACCACCCGTTTCTACACTAAGGCGGGATGATCCGGAGACTATTTTTGGAGGTGATGTAAATTTTGAAGACTTCACATTCAGTCCTTTTCATGTTGTTGAGGAAAGTGATGAAGACGCTACTGTCACTCAAAAACAATTCAAAGCCATCAATGATAAACTGGATTCGTTAATCCAATCCTCTAATTCTTCATCCAACAATGCATATTCCCAGGAAGTAGTCAAGGCATTAAATGAAACAACTTTAAAAGAGCACGCTGCGAACCTAGAGAATGCAAATAAAGCCATGGAGGATTCAGCTAAAACCTGCAAGGAAGCGACCGATAAAGTCAATAAACTAATTTCATGAGCACCTTTCAAATCTCCTTTGAGACAAACACTGCTAAAGCCAATGCATCAATCTTGAATTTGAGTGTTTCCCTTCGCACCGAGAAGGAGGCTCTCGAAAAGGTTCGTCCAGGAATACAATCAAACCAATTTGAGCTCAAGTCTTCTATCACATCCAAAATCACAAAGCTTCAAGATGACCTAGATGTTGAGAGCAAAATAATGGATGCTATTGCATGCAAGATTGAGAAGATAAAGGTGTTATCTGTGAAGCTTGAGTCTGCTGAGAAGAAAGTTGATGAGCTCTTATCCGAGAGAGCTATTCCAAAAAGTTGTGTTTCTGATGTCAATTTGCTGCTATCAAACATTGTTTAGGCTCGTGATCCACTGATCCCTATCCCATAGAGGGTATTTCAGAGTTTTTCTCACTTCAGAAACAAGGGGGAGAGTCTGTGAAACCTCTACCCAAAAAAGTAAGTGAACAAGAAAAACCAAAGGTATATGAATCTAAACCGAAGGGTAATGTATCTTCGGGTTCAAAGGGAAAAAAGAAAGTGATAGAGGAAGAAGAAGAGGAAGAAGATGAAAATGAGAAATTGTAACGTCTATAAAAATCATGCCAATTTTAAACTTTTTAAAACATTTTCAAAATCAACGATTATTACAAAACTTGTTTTCAAAATATTATAATGTTAGAGTGTCCCAGAATCAAACATAAAATCATGAAATATGAGGAGCTATATGATTACGCCTTCGCCTTCTTGCGATCATCATAAGTACCTGAAAGAATAATCGATAAATGTAACCTCGAAGGCTTAGTGAGTTACCCCCAAAATACCAACGCCATACATATATAACGATATCATATAAACGTATAAGAAAACAACATTCATAATGAGCCATCAATCTGACTGGACCACCTCACAGGCCATCAGTCTATCTGGACCACTCTCTGAGCCATCGGCACGTTTGGACTGCCTCTCAGGGCTTTTCGCCTATCCGGACCACTCGCCGGGCTTTCGGCCTGACTTTTTGACCTCCCGAGTCTGCAGTTTATCTAGTCTGCCATGGGTATCTTGGCCTACAGCACAAAGCATGACCTGTCTCAACCTAATCCCCCAAACCAACAAACATGTGCACATACATATAAACAAATAGTCATGCGGATCTAACAGATCATTAATATAGCAACCATCCTATAGCTAGGATACTGATCTAATTGATCTCTAACATAGAAACCATCCTATAACCAAGATACTGATATAACCGATCACTAGCATAGCAATCATCCTATAACTTGGATACCGATCTAACCAATCTCTGACATAGCAACCATCGTATAACCAGTATACATATCATAAAGCATGACGCGCAATAAACTCAGATACAAATCCGAAAAGGGTCGGCATTGGTGCCTTTGACCCTGTTAGTATAGTGAAGACAACTCACCTTTTAAAGGCAAAGTCAACGATCAAGGTCAATAGTCCATGTTGACCCAACTCGTCGAGTACAGCTCACTGACTCACCTAGTCCTTCGAGAACTTGAAGGAATTGTGAAGATCCTAGTTGACTCGCCGAGTTCCTAGGAAACTCATCGAGTTCATGCGTGGCCAATTATCGGGAAAACCCTAACTGACTTATTGAGTCGATTCAGTGACTCGCTGAGTTCATGCAGAAACCCTCAAGGCTAATCTTCATCCGACTTTCTGATTTGGCCATGCAACTTGTCGAGTCCCTTTAGTACTTTCGCCATTTAGATGTTTATAAGCCACCCCAAAGCTCCATATTGCAGATCTGAGTTCCTAGGGCATACTTCCTACATAAAGTTCCAAACTTTACGTACATGCAAGGTGCTACGGCCAAAATCAAGCTAAAGAAGAGGTTCTATGGGAGGAAAAGGCATTATATGGCTAAAGGCTAAGGCTTTATGACTATAAGAACCAAGATGAGCCTAGATCTGAAGTTGCAACTTCAGATCATGACCAATACCCGAAATGAATCATCAACATGCTAAAATGCCTCTAATATCAAGCATGAAGATATCTAGTTAGAAGGAAGTTCAAGGTAATGACTTTTTACCTTCAAGTGATGCTAAAATGGGGTAGAATTTAGATCCACCACCTTTCCTTGCTCCAAGCTCGTTGGTCTTCAAGCTCTTCTTACCAATATCTTCCTTCCAAGCTTAATAGCACACAAATATGGAAAGTAATTGCGATTTAGGGTTTCCGAGCTTAAAAAGGGTTGTAAGGGAAGCTAATGGCCTTTTAAATAGGGTGCAAAACCCTGAAAATTAAGGTTTCATCCCCTAACTCCAGCTCATCGAGTCGTTTCCTCCAACTCGTTGAGTTGGTCACTTAAGACACGTGGCCAAATACATTCCTACTCGACGATTCAGGGCATCCAACTCGTCAAGTAGACTTTTAAATATGAAAATATAAGACTGTAAAGTTTATACCTGAGAGTCGGGGTGTTACAGAATTTGAATCGCAAGGCTCGTGATGCCATTCTCAATGAAAACTTACGCATTGTGAGAGAGGCGGAAGAAAAATAAAAGGCGAAACGTGACGCTCAAACTGCCTTAGCTGCCAAGAAACTGCTATTTCCTCCTTGGTTAATGGGTTGAATCCTGAACGAAGTAGTAGATAATTCGAGCCCTCACTAGTTGGAACTAGCTACTTCTTTCGAGCTGGAGAATACTCTCGATTCGCAACTTGGCTTCCCCATCACTCTGAAAGTATTCCTCTTTCGTTGTTTTAATGTCATTGCGAATGCTCCAGTCTCTAATGAAAATATCGACAAGTCTGACTTTTTATCTGAAGTATGGTAAACCTCAATTCTAAACCTAGAGCTCGCATAAGATCAATGTCGTCAACGTGATTAGCCCTATTCAAACCAAGAGTTTTGTTAACATCAAATTCAAACAACTCGAGGTTATGCGAATTCAAAGTGTGATTTCTCGCTTGTAGATCTTCCATGCTTAAACCCATATGACTGGATTATTTTGTTGCACTTCCTAATGCAATATGAGAAGAAATATGAATCGGTTGTTGCTCACATGAAAAGGATGTTGGTTTCATATGTTTATGAATTTGCGAAGTTTGATATTGAAATCGCTTTGGTTTTACAAAAGAAACCGATAGTCCTTCCTAAGGCTCAGCATACGATATAGAGAAGATGAAAATAGGGAAAATCGAAACCGATAACTTGACGGTTATGTTCCTGAGAGGTTCGAGAGAGAGAGGAGACATTCGAAAATGTATGTTCATGTTTCCAGATAAGCATATGTTTTCTACAGTTTGCTTGAACTATATTTTGAACATCACACGCAGCTGCAATGCGAACGATGCTGCTGTGAAGAAGTGTTATTCTGACATGATTCACTGGTACATTGCCTTTCGTAGTTCTCTTCTTAGTGTCATGCCTAAGCTATTCAAGACCCAGCAGCGCATTCAAGAATGAAGGTCTTCCTCCTAGTCAACGCAAAAGGGGAGATTGTTGGGTATTTTGCGTTGCCTCTTTATGGGCTTTTGTTATAGCCTTTTGTGTATTTGGGTTGGGCTTGTCCATCCGTGATTAATGATTAGGGTTTTACTATTTAAGGTGCATGCATGCATCGTGTCATTGTAAACCCTACATAGCCTCTACAGTAGCAGTTCTTTATCGAGATCTTCTAAGGCTATGACTTTTAATCATTCGACACATTCTTGATTCATATTATGTGTTTGATTTCTTTTACCTGTTTGAATCTATTCGATCTTTGGAGTGTTAATCTCAACAAAATCCTACTCCTAAATTACTTTATTTTCCACAACGAGACTTGAACTCTCAAAACCTAATGGGGATGGGACACATTTCCTACTCCTTGGCACCGCTAAGCCAAAAGCCTTTTAGTTTTGCAAACATGATTTTTTGAGTAAATTATATATGGAATTATTATTTTTGTTACACTAAATGGTGAATAAAGTTTACTTAAATTGATTGACAAAATTGTATAAGTATGTTAAATGTTACACCTTTTAACTCTTTGTGCATAGCGTACGATCTACTGTCCAAAAAACATATATTTAATTCTAGGGATAATGACTTAAGAGGTAACGTATTTTAACTTTTGATAGCATTTGGTTTGTAAAATTTTTTCGTGATATATTAACCCTTGAACTTGTTGAAACATATAAATGTTACCCTTATGACCGTTTTTAGCTGGTCATAAGGGTAAAATGTGAACAATTTCAAATAATTCAAGGGTAAATCAAGCACGAAAAAAGTTCAGTGACTAAATGTGAACAAAATTAAAAGTTTGTTACCCTTTCAATTCATTATCTCATAAATGGTTCTAAATTTTATTAAGGACGAGAACAAGCGAGATATAGAAGTCACAAAAGTGAAGATGTTGTCGTAATCGTGTGATATACCTTTATTGTATAAGGTACCAAAAACAACACTTAGAAATGCAGTAGGAGTGGCTTCAATCACAAAGAAAGCGAAGGAAAAAAATATGGTGATTTCAGACATATATTTAGGACATAGGTGATGGTTTTCACTCCCGAAAGCGGAGACGGTCGTTATAGATCGTGCGAGGAAGAGATAACATCTACTTATTGGATGAGGCGGCGGTTTTCATTCCAAAAGATGAAGACGGTTATTGTGAAGATAATACAATGTTAGATTTAAATGAGGTTTTTCTAGTTTACAAGGACATGAGGTTTGATTAGAGAAAAACCTCAATTAAATCTAACATCGTATTATCTTTACAATGACTGTCTCCATCTTCTGGAGTAAAAACTATCGCCTATGTCCTAAGGATATGTTCTTTCTTCCTCGCACGATCTATAACGACCGTCTCCACCTTTTGGAGTGAAAACCGTCGCCTATGTCCTAAATATATGTCGTAATTTTACCATATTTTTTTTCCTTTAGTTTCTTTATGATTGAAGTCGCTCCTACTATATTTCTAAGTGTTTTTTTCTGATACCTCATACAATAAAGTTATATCACACGATTACTACAACATCCTCAGTTTTGTGACTTCTATATCCCATTTATGCTCATCCTTAATAACATTTAAAACCGTCGCCTATGTCCTAAATATATGTCGTAATTTTACCATATTTTTTTCCTTTAGTTTCTTTATGATTGAAGTCGCTCCTACTATATTTCTAAGTGTTTTTTTCTGATACCTCATACAATAAAGTTATATCACACGATTACTACAACATTCTCAGTTTTGTGACTTCTATATCCCATTTATGCTCATCCTTGATAACATTTAAAACCATTTATGAGATAATGACTTGAAATGGTAACAAACTTTTAATTTTGTTAACATTTAGTCATTGGACTTTTTTCGAGCTTGATTTACCCATTAATTATTTGAAATTGTTCACATTTTACCCTTATGATCAACTAAAAACGGTCATAAGGGTAACATTTACACGTTTCAATAAGTTCAAGGGTTAATACATCACAAAAAAAAGTTTAATGACCAAATATAATCAAAAGCTAAAATATGTTACCCACTCAAGTCATTATCCCTTAATTATGAAACTTATATCCATATCATTTTCCCCATATGACGTGTTGATACTACGTCAAACTTAGAAAACATAAAGAAAAAACCATAAAATGTAAAAAATTTAAAATATTGGTTGACATTTTTTAAGCGTCAACATAATAATCTATCATATAAATATCTCTAAATAATAACGCCTGCAATCTGCCATAAACTTACTCAATCATAAAATTTCAGTTACCAATATAATTGAAAGCAAAAACTGTTTTCGAACTTGTTCATGTTTTTTGCAATTCTTCATATCCTATGTAAATTATAAAAGGGTGATACTATATATACCTATTCATTCACATAAATTGTAACATCATGGATGATACATAAACACTATTAAAATCATATAGGGGTACACAAGAAAATTGAAAATTGGGACGGTACGAATAGAATTTCTGAGGCCCCTCACAATACCAAAAAAGCCCATCTCCCACTTTGAATTGACATAGATATTACATGCAACAAGTAATTTAGTCATCTTGATGTCACCTTGACGTATGTCTGAAAAGCAAATTCGGAGTGTGTCTGTGTGTGTGAGATATTAATATTATAAATTAGAATTTGGAATTGCATCATCATGTCCATCAAGTGATAGTGATATGGGTTTGTTTTGATGCAATATCATGTTGTCTTAAATGTTTTGGGGGTCTAGTTCACATGTGTTTGGCCCCAATTTTGAAAAGTGTTTGCTCATATTTATATTATTGCTTCGCTTTGGTTTGACCTACTTGTTTTTATATGAAACAAGATTAAGGTTTTCTTTTTAACATTAAATGTCACTATTTTCCTCTTTGGAAAACCAATGATATATTTATTGGAAGGTCGATTAATTTCATTTGATCAAGGAAAACTCATAACATTTTATAAATATGAAAAAAAAAAAAAAATTGTTTCTCCATATTATATATGCATATAATATGGCATATGGATATGGGAAAAAATATATTTTTATAGCATATATATATATATATATATATATATATATATATATATATATATATATATATATATATATATATATATATAGGGTTAGGTTCATGTGAGACGGCCTAATTTTGTGAGATCGTGAGACGCATTTTTTTAATTTTTATTTTTTAAATTTTTTTAGTTAATTCAAGTTCCGAAAATAATATTTAAAAAAACAATTTTTTGATTTTTCGATTTCTTTTGCATTTTAAAATTATTTTTAGAATATGTACAGTGTAATATTCTATTTAGAATATTTCACGTATTTCTAAAAAAAGAAAATAGAATTTATTTTTTTATTTTTTTTGTAGTTAATTCAAGTTCTGAAAATAATACTTAAAAAAAGAATTTTTTGATTTTTCCATTTATTTTTTATTTTAAAATTATTTTTTAGAATATGTCAGTGTAATATTCTATTTAGAATATTTCACGTATTTCTCAAAAAAAAAAAAAATTTTTTTAGTTAATTCAAGTTCTGAAAATAATATTTAAAAAAAGAATTTTTTGATTTTTCCATTTATTTTGTATTTTAAAATTATTTCTTAGAATATGTCAGTGTAATATTATATTTAGAATATTTCACGTATTTTTCAAAAAAAAAAAACGGATTTTTTTTATTATTTATATTTTTTTTAGTTAATTCAAGTTTCGAAAATAATATTTAATTTTTTTTTTTTGGATTTTTCCATTTATTTTGCATTTTAAAATTATTTTTAGATTTGGTCTCACGGTCTCACAAAATTAGAATGGTCTTAAATGAACCTGAACCTATATATATATATATATATATATATATATATATATATATATATATATATATATATATATATATATATAATATATATATATATATATATATATATATATATGAAGTTTTAAGGGTACTTATGTTGTCTTTAATGGGATGGAATGAAATATACAAGGTAATAAAATAAGTCATTACAATTTAATCTAATATTTGGTTACATTAATGGAATGGAATGGTAAGTAGGTAGGATATAACAAATTAATGAAATAAAAATAATTAATAACGATAAAAACAACTGGTAAAACAAATACATAAATTTAAAAATCTTTTATATAATTATCCTGTAAAAATATATTTTATATTGTAATAAATATATATTATATTTTTATCTTATTAACACATAGAGATTAATATTTTTATGATGAGACACCTATAAAAATTCATTAAAATATATCAACCTTTTGTGGTTCTTTGATATGTGTTCTTTTCCATCAGCTTCTTCTTAAATAATATCGAGTAAGTGAATTCGTGGTGAACCACGGATCGTTTTTTTTTGGAGTTTTTTGTTTTGTAGTGGGCTTTATCATTTGGTCCGTATTGAATGAACCATGGGACGATTTATTTACTAATTTTTTTATTTGTGTTTAGTAGTTATTTATGAGTTTTCTTTGAAATAGGTTGGGCTTTAATGGTAACTAGGTGGGGAGCCCCCGCGTTGCGGGGGTCGGATGCGACAATTTTTTCCGTCGTTTGTTCTTTGTAAATGTTATTTGATCAATTATTTGTTTATAGTTTGAGTATTGTTATGGGATAGTAATATTGTTTTATTATGGATAATTTTTTTTGTTGTCGGATAAGGTATTTATTGATATATATGCTTCATGGGTTTCCCTCATTAAGTGTTATTTAAGTATAACATTAGCTAGCTCAAAAAACATTTGATAAAATGACAACACACATATCTGATAAAAGCAAAGTCACCACAAAAAAAAAAGAATCAATTTGTTGATCAATGTGTGTTATAGTATGCTAATAAGTTCAATTATCGGCTTTGTTAGATTCCATAAGCCCTGAGAAAAGAAAAGAAAAAAAAAACGTATCAGGACTTTGAAAAACTAATAAATACAGTCAAGACTTCTTAGTTATCTACAATCCTAAAGAAAACTTGATGGGCTCCAAAAAGTGAGAAAAAAAAAATTAGCTACGGACTTACCGGTTTATGTACAGTTTGACAAAAGTTTGCAGGCAAAAGAGAAGCTAAAAGACCTAAAGAATCTGGTGTGATGAATGAGGTTTTGCATTTCAATGTAGTTATATAGACAAAAGGAGCAATGCACTCTCAAAAAATGAAATTTGAAAAATGTCAGCACATATAATCTATAATGAATACTTACCAACATTATCTTTCAAAACCAAAATCAACATACCCTTCCATGATTCCTTGATTAGCCTTTGAAACCTTTGCACCTCATAAATAGCAATGCCCTGAAATCAATGAAAAAAAAGCACAACATAAAGATACTAATGCTTTTTATTTTTTTCCTTTAACCCACGAAGATAAATGAAACCCGAAAAAAAAAACATGAACATAAAAAGAATGTAAATACACACTATTCTTATCCAAATTCACAACTTTAAGAATCAAATGACATAATCAATAAGCTCACCTGGGAAGTTGGAGTCTCTTTTGGTGAGTGTTTCGCCTCCTTTACAAGTTTATCTAATCACCCTATTTCTCATTACTTAGGTTTTAACCTGCAATCTTGCTATCACTATATTTCAAGATATCATCATATTGATTGGAAGCTAAAAATTGTACATAGAAACACATTGAGGGCTTAGAGACCGAATAAGGAAATACTTGTTGCCATGAACTTTGGGGTTGAAGTTGGACTTGAAGCCCTATCAGTTCAAATTATAAAAAATGAGTTTTTTATACTATTTGAAATAATTTCGATGCAAATGTGTAATGTATTTGTTTAAAAGTAGCAAATATGAAAATCTTGAAACAAAAAAGCAAAGGGTTGAGAACAAAGATTATTGAAAATCTTGAAATGAAAAAGCCAAGGGTTTGCATTTCCTTACCACATACCAACATCATCTAACCCACGGTATACTTACAAAATATATGTAGCAACAACAAAGATGTCAAACTCCACCAAAGCACAACAGGGGCTAAATAGTCAAAAGTTGAATTGAAAGGAAGGAAGCCATGTCACACTAAGACACTCCAAGCATAAATTGCCAAATCTAAAAAAATAAAGCTTACAATAACTTACATTAATACAATAAAAACTGTATAATTGTTTGAATTCGACCAATTTTCATTAAAAAGAAGATATAATTAAATAAAATTTTAATTCTTACCAATAAAAGCAATCTCGATAACCCAAACCAACAATAACAGTCATACAAATCTACCTTTAAGCATTTGGAAGATGACGAATATCAGCAAAAGTTTTCATTTGTTTTTTTTCAATTTATATATATATATATATATATATATATATATATATATATATATTAATACCTTATCATGTAACTCGGTTATTCTTTGTATAACTCTGGCCATTTCTTGAGCTGAATCTTCATCTTCTTCTTTTGCCTTAAATTTTTCATCTCTTAATTGTTCCTGCCAACAATTTATAACATAAATTTTAAAAAGTTGTGACATCCATTTTGTATTTCGCACCACGCAACCCTACATATCTTCAACTGGCTCACAAAAAGTTCATATCCGTAGTTAGCGAAGATTGGAGGTCTTGACCATGTCTCCTTAAGTGGGAAAGCGAAAAAGCAATCAGTTTAACAATATGATTAGTTGACTTTGACCGCAATTTTATCTGCCAAAAAAGGTGAAATAAGGCATACATTTAGATGATGAAAAAAAACATGAATTAAGGGTTAATTTTATTGTCAGTTGTATTTAAGTTTAATTCCAGAAAAAAAGGTAAAATGGTCATTAATTGTTTCGACATTCAAATGCTGCAATTAAGTATCTACTTTCAATTAATAATGAACAAAACAAACATCAACTTTTGAGTTATAAAACTGCAGAACCTGAAATGTTTGTTTAGCTGCTAATACAGGTACGGTCACCTTTCATAGGCTTTGAGTTTTCGGTTTAATTCCCGCACAACACAACCAACAACAAATTAGATTAATTACCAGCTATAGAAATCATTTCCTCCTACTAACTACTAAAATCATAATACCTATAATTAGAAAAGTATATAAGAAATTCATAGAAGCCGATAATGAAAATATTTACCTCAGAACCGGAGAAGCAGAAATCAGAGCCAAGAATAACAGTGACACTTCTGATTTGGGAGAGGCTTTAGTTTCCGAGGGCAGTTTCGGGATTTGAGATTCTTCTGGTTGACTTTGCCAAATCAAATGAAATTTCATCAAGTGTTGACTTGAGTCTGTGTACACGAGACTCCAATGATCATATCCCATTCTGTGAGCTCCGAATATATTTCTGTAATTTAGGTTAGAGCAACAGAGATATGAGAAAGAGTTTATTGGTTGGGTTAATCTAAATTCTAAAGTAACAATGAAACTGAAATTACCTTTAGGAGATCGAATAAATTGGACTGTTGGGTTTTGATTTGAAGAAGCTGATTGCGGATCACATATAAGTCCTCGGATTCTTGTTGGATTAAGTTGATACTGTAGCTGTCAATGATCTCTGCAACTTTAGAGCTTGACCTTTCTTCATGATATAGTGATTCGTGAATTTTTTTCATCTGAAATTTCATTGAAGAGGACGTGTTTCGTCATTGGTTTAAGCTTGAGATGATCTTCATTCTTAGAGACAAGAATTGGAGGCAGAGAAACTGCAATGTTTAGTTTCTGATCATTTGGCTTCTTCCGATCCAGCTTAGGAAACATTGCAGGATCACTTTTCCTATTGTTGTTCTCGAATGAATTTCTATGAGTAGTACTGCTGGTGGAAGAACCAGTTGACTTATGAACAGTTTGAGGTGTTCTTAGTGGATATCGTACATAACTGACAGCTTCTTCTGTCATATCACAGTTCAAAAATTACATCATTTTGAGAATTCGGATAATTATTATCATCAACAAACAATCACATACATAAACACAAGTATATAGATTACAAGTGAGTAGGAACTAAGATTAGACAAAGTTTTTACTAACTTATCAGAGTTTTTTCAATTAATTTTATGCTAAGTTAAGAATTTATGTGGAAAAAACTGCGATCTGGAACGCAATTTTAATTTAACAAAATATATGAATGAGATGCGGTGATCTGATCTTATTGCTAAGTATTAGTTTTTCAGGAACCATGCATATATGTATTTCAAAATTTAGAGGAATAGTTCTTCATACCTTTAGAAGATTGTGATTAACGGGTTGGTGATACCTGCTCAAGTACATCTGGAATTAAATTCCAAGCTTCCATCATCTGATTCATCGTCTCCCTTACAGCTTTCAACTACAAAATAATATTATTACTCAACGAAAATCCACATAATTACCACTTAATTTTGATTCATAGATTAGTATTAAACCTTATCGAACTTTTTTGCCTCAAATGTTTTCAAGCACGAAGCCTTGAACTCCGGCAACTAATTTGTCTCCACCAAAGCCAACTTCTCCACCGCCTCTGCTGCCACCTTCCTCGCAGTCCAATCCTCAGTTTTGACCACGAAATGAACCATATTTTTAGGGGAAAAAACAATCGATCTATTTATGAGAATCTATTTTCAGGAAGGGAAAAAAACTTACCTGCTGCAACCGGAGGTCGATGTCGTTGCCGGAGGCGGCGAAGTTTCCGATGATATCGTCAATCATGAAGATAGCAGGCGACTGCAGATCGAAGAGGTGGAAGGAGAACAAATTTTATTTAAGTCTTTAATCAGTCTAGGGCAAAAATTAGTAGTAGAAGATGGACCTTACCTGAAGTAAATGACTTCTAAACACAAATTAAGACAGACTAATACATGGTGGAGGTTTCGACTCCAAATTCATAGATAAATAGAATACATGGGTGATGTCTGTTGGAGCGCGTAATCTCATCTAAAGAAAAGGGATGTAGGAGAAAGTGAGTATATGTTTTAAAGCTTCGTGTACATACCAGATTTCTTTCGTTCCTTTGGTTCCTGAAAGTCATGTATCGAGTTTATGGTTGTGGCTGATGACTGTTATAGAGTCCGAAAGAAGGTCAGGGCAGAGAGGAGTGGAACTGGAGAGTGATCGTCTCCAAAAGACTGAAACAAATACAAAGCGGTGGAAGCAAGCTTATGTGATTGGGTGAGGGAATGGTGATGGGGCGAGGGAACGGGATAAGGGATAGAGCTGGAATCGGAAGAGATTGGATAAGGAGGCGGTGGGAAGGATCCGAAAACGGATAAACCAAACGATGATCAACACGTATACAAAAATGTAAATATTTCCATAAAATACCCAGGTACAAAAATAAAATGGAAACAACACATCCATGGGCTATTCTTGCCAAAAAAACACACAGGTTTACTATTCATAAAAAGTGTCCACCTTTAATATATATATATAAGAATATAGGGTGTGTCATCGTATTGCTACGGATCCAAAAATACCATTTTTTGGGTTAATTGCAAATTGCAAGGACCATTTATGTAACTTAAAACAAGAAAAACTAAAAAAAAAAAAAAAGGGAAATCTCCGATAAGTCATAATATTTTAGGTCAGTTTATAGTTTAGTTCCAAAATAAATTTTGTTTACAAAAAAAAAGTCAAATTAACAGCAAAGATTTCGTTAATTCCAAATTTTGTGACTTTTTCATTAATTGATCAAAATTTTGGATTTTTTAATTATTTTTACCAATAATCAAAATATTTGGACTTTTTTGAAGATTACCTTTAAACTAATGTATATTATCTTATCTAAGTTAATATGTACCATTCCACATCTTCTTTCTTGCGCTCTTTCTAGGCTCACCGTGTGTTTTTGTCGTCGTCTTCGAACCCGACAACATAAAGCTCACTCATAAGCATCGTTAACTCCATCGATTTTCTAAAATCATCCAATCACAACTCTGTGATCATCTTCCAATCTCCAAGTAAAGAAAGGAAAAAATCATTGATGATCACGTGGATGTCCCTATCACCTAACCATGACTTGAACCATGATTACAATACTCAGATGTTCCTATTACCTAACGATGATTCAAACTATGGTTCGGACCCATATGATAATGGTCTTGGCCATAGTGTTGTTAACAACAGAAGACGAATCCAATATGGTTCAATCACTGATACCTTAGCTCAAGTCTTACTTGACCCTCATTTCCCTACAAAAGGGCTTGAAAACCATAATGAATGGACCATCAAGCTTAAAAACTCAACATGGGTAAAAATCTAAACTTGGTATTATTTATTGAAAACCATGAAGAGTATTAACTATAACTGTAAAAAAAAGTCAACATGTTATCTATTATAAACTAATAAACTATTAATTTGGCATATATATATGAGCTATCCATCAATAAGATTGTGTTCTGATCTTTATCAAAAAGTTCATCATTTATCAGTTTTTGTCTTGCCAAAAACTAAAGCATTCTGGAATCCCCAAATAGACTAAATCATAATAATGACAACAACTTGCAAGTATTTTCTTGGCATATTATCAATATGCAATTGATATTTCCAAGAAAGGCATTCACGTCTAAATCATACGATAGAATATCAACCCGCACCAATGACCAACCTAATGCTAAATGGAAGAAATCAAGTCATACTCACAATCAATGAACATGTTTAATTGACTCTAGCTGTATATTATAAATCAGACACAAAATGTGCTAGACATCAATGACACTATTAGTGAATGGATTTTGATATAGTATGGTATCCCAACTGGGTAGTTTTAGGAGTTGTGGATTTCATTGACTATGCTGCAAAGTGAGGCAGTTGCCTGAGAAAATACAAGATCATTAATTTGATCTTATATTACTTGGTTTATATGGATGACGAGAAATATGTAACATAAGCAAAATTCATGAAAATTTTAAACTTTTTAAACAACCCAAAAACCATCATTGTTTACATCTTGTTTTCAAAATAAGTTCATTATAAGAGAAATCCCAAAATCATAAAGTAAAACTTGAGGAAGTGCATGATCACGCCTTCGTTTTCTTGTGATACCCTGAGGTACTTGAAACATAATCCAAAATTGTAAACTCAAATCTTAGTGATTTCCCCCAAAAATACCAATACACAAACAATAACAAAAATATAATAACAACATATTGTTCATCCAATCAACCATCAGGTTGGAATACCCCATGCCCATCAACCATTGGGTTGGAATGCCAACATAGCATGGGTCCAATCAACCATTGGGGTGGAATACCCTAGGCACCTCAACCACCGGGTGGAATGCCAATATACTATGGGTCCAATCAACCATCGGGTTTGAATACCCTAGGCCCTCAACCATCGGGTTGGAATGCCCCGGCCTGTTGGCTTATGCACAAAGCAGTGAAGCCCCAGCCACCGACAAAACATTATCACATATAACAGTCTACAACCAGTCATATAGATCTACAGATCACTAAGCATAGCAACATCCTATCTACTAGGATACTTATCTAACAGATCATAACAATACAATAACACGCATAACATGATATCAATCCAATGGGTAGGCATTAGTGCCTTCAACCTGCAAGTATAGTGAGGACAACTCACCTCACAAACTGAGTAGAACTGATGAGGCCCGACTCCGAATCTCAACTCTCTCCACGATACCTAATTCCAATAAATGGCCAATTTCCATAAGAATTCCAAAATACCCTCGAGGTCAAACTTGATCAAAGTCAAAGTTAACGGTTAAGGTCAACAGTCAATATTGACCCAACACGCCATGTATACTAGTAAACATGTCGTGTTTCGATAGCATCCAGACGATTGGGAAAACTCTAGTCAACAAGCCGTGTTGGCTTGAAAACATGTCGTGTTTTTCGAGTTCCAGCAACTTAATACATTAATCTATTTTCTTCGATTCCAGGGACTCCAAGGCTCAGATCCAACCTCAAATGCTACCAAGAAGGATAAAGTTTCCAACTTTATCCTTTGTAAAAACTCCAAGGTTCCAAAAACCCAACCGTAAGGCTTGAAGATTCAAGGGCTTAACCAATAAGCCCTAAATCCTTGAAGTCTGAAACCAATCGTTTCTAGAAGAGATTATAGCACCAAAACCATCCCAAAAGTCGATGATTTATAAACATGCATGTCCAATGCATGCCTTGAACCCAAGATAGGTCAAAAATGGGGATTTATGACTTACTTTCAATGCATGGCATCAAAACTCGACTATAGTCCAGATCCAAAAGTCTACAAGGTCACTTAGACCTGGAGATTCATAAAGTTTCCAACTTTATGGAATCCTGTTAGAAAAATGGGATATAATAATAGCCTTGTAAATTCTGAGAATTGTGATTTCACTATCA